AATTATGACATGTATTTGTTATTAAGAACTTAGAGCACATAATTAATAACATAAGAATAAAAAAAAATCTCTTATATATAATTGTGATAAAAATAAATAAAATTTAATTAATTCCAATTCATTTTTACTAAATATTCTAGATAAAATTTGTAAATTATTATTTAATTTTAAAAATTAATTTTTAATTATTTAATAGTATCATTAATAGGATTTGCCAAAACAAGGGCGGGAGGCATAGGGTAGGGGCGTCTAATCTGTGGGAAGGGCAGCTTAAAATTTGTGTTAAAGATGCTTTTTAATCCCACTATGATATGATATTAACTTTCCCATAAAAATCTCTTAATGGAGCAACGTCATTGTCATGAATGTGGTGGGATTACTTGGCTTATTTTGGGCTTTTCTTATCAAGGTCGGTTGCTTTGGTTGTGCAAAATTCACGGAATTCTTGCTCCCACCCTCTCTCCCCTCTTTATTATCTTTGAACAAGACATAAAGCTACTTATCTGGTGAGAGAATGGTGCCATTTGGAACAATTTTATGTACACCTGTCAGAGAAATATTATGGTAAATTATATCGGGCAGTAATGTTAGGGACATTAAATTTTCTACTAAATAAATGATCAAATGTCTCACATGGGTGTGGGATCCGTAATTTTGTGGACCCCACACCCATGTGAGATATTTAGTCATTTATTTGGTAGAAAATTTGGGACCTCTAGCATTTTCCTTATATCAATAATCTTTATATTTTGATTGTATTATTTTAATTTTTATAATTTTAATCCTAAATTTATAACTTTATGTCAATTTAATCTAATTTGTTACAATTGTTGGTATTTTTTTTATTATAGAAAATGTACATGTGAATAGCATGCGTCATGTTTTCGGAGACAAAATTATAAATTTGATTAACTCAATAAGTAATCTCAACCAAACTTAGTGATTATTTTTTGTCAAAAATTTGAACGGTGTTTTCAATTAGACCTAATTGACTCAAAATCTAAATTAAGAGTAAAAATTGAGCCAATTAAAAATGTATATATCAAAATGACACAATGAGCAAAGTGTAAGAACTATCGATATAATTTATTCAAAATATTATGAACTTAGAAAAATTATTTAAAAATTTGTTTAAAATTTTGATTTATAATGTGAATTTGAACTTAGTGTGACTTCGTGTGGAGTAGAGTATACTCAAAATTAATCTAATTTATAATTTTTTGAAAGTATTTTTTATTTTAAATATATATATATATATTTTTTGTTTCTATATGATTATCCCAGCTCCTCTTTAATATATTTGAAGAAGACATAAAGCTCCTTATGGTGTGTGCATTTGGAAATTTTCTATGTCCACGTGTCTACCATTTAGAGAGATAGGGACGGAAATGTTATGTAATTTGAAAAAATATTTAGAATTTGAATTTATAATGTGAATTTAAATTGAGTGTGATTTTGTAAGTTAAGCATACATTTAAAATGAATTTGATCTATATATTTTTTTGAAAATATTTTTATTTTAAAATGATAGACTTATAACTCAACAATATATTTTATATTTATATATCATTATCTAAACCTTCTCTTTATTATCTTTGACGAAAACATAAAGCTACTTATCTAAGAAAGGATGGTGTGCATTTGGAAAAAATTTATGTGCGCGTGTTCACTTTTTAGGGAGATAGGGATGGAAATGTTGTGTACTCAGACAAAAATAAATAAATAATTTTAAAAAATTGTCTACAAATTGAATTTTTAATGTGAATTTAATCTTGGTATGACTTTATGTGATATGCATCATATTAAAAAATGAATCTAATCTATACATTATTTAAATATTTTTTTATAAAAATAAAATATAAATAAAAATATATACTCTTATGTTTTAAAATATTAGTCTCTTATTTTATTTTTTATTGTCCCAAAATATTAGTTTATTTTCAAAAATTAAGTATAAAAATAATATAAATTTCTTATTTTGTCCTTCTTTTAAATATATTAACAAAATAAAAAATACAATTATAACATTGATATGCTCTAAAAAATGTACTATTAAAAAGTAATTTTGAAAAATTAATCTTTTTAAAATATAATAATTATACTATAAAAAAAAATCAAATTCTTTAAAAGGAATCATTATTTTAGAATGGAAGAAGTATATATAGAATGATGTGTTGAATTATGGAGAATTTCATTAGGAAGTGTACTTGTTTAAGAGATGTTGAGTGTAACGTTTGCCTAACAATAATGTTCTTTGGGGGAGATAATATTCCATAGAACTGGAGGAGAGCACAAAGAATACGTCTCTTCTATTGACCTTTGCTCTTTGGCTTTTTATGTAAAATTGACTTTGGTAATGCCTATAGCCAAGCAATTTGTATTCTCTTTAAACGAGTGTTCTATCCGTGCTATGCACGGATTTTGTTTATAATTATTTATATATATATATATAAATTATGATTTTTTAATTTTTTATTATTTAATTTTTTTGGTACACAGAAAAGAAAATATAACAAATATAATATATTTTCAGTCAATTATTTTAGGGGTATTTACACACAATCCTGATTTATGAACTTATATTTCATTAAATTCTAATTAAGATTTTTTAGACCTTCAAGTCCCATTAAATTTTTAACAATCGGAATTCTTCTTCAAATAATGATTTTTTATCATATATGATTATGTATAATGGAACATGGTGATTTGACATTCATTTGAGTTTTCAAAACATCAACTTTCAAATTGAAAAATATTAATATATATATATGTGTGTGTGTGTGTGTGTGTGTGTGTGCAAAAAAAAAAAAAAAAACTTTTTTTTTTTTTTTTTGAAAAAATTGAATTTTTTTTCGTGTAAAACTGAAAATTTTTGTGTCTATAAAGAGGCATAATAATGAACATTGATGCGCAAAACTAGAGAGAAAAAATTAAAATGAAAAAATTTATAATATTCTCTGTTTTTAAAATTGAAAAAATTGATAATATTCTCGATTTTATTGGATAGTTGAAATCAAACCAATAAGTTAAAAGACAAAAACGTTTAATATCATCCTTTGTTTGTTTGTTTTTTTTTAATTAGTTAGTAAAACAGTTATCTGAAATATTACTATGTAAAATCGATAATGTTCTTAATTTTAAAAATGGGAAAAATTGATAATGTTTCCAATTTTACTAAATACGACTTATAGGTTTAAAAAATCTTACACAGAACATAAGTTACCATAACATTTTTAAATAGGACTTTTAGTTAATTAACTCTAAGGTCCCTTAACACCAATACAGAGAAATTCGATCCAGAGAATTTCTCTGGACAAATCACAAAGAAAATTCTAAATTTCTCTGGACATATCACAGAGAAAATTGCAATTCCAAATTTCTCTGGACACATCACAGAGAAAATT